ACACACAGTCAGCCTACTGCATACTGCACACTAGATGTTTGTAACCGTACATAAAGCAGAACACTGATAAAACACACAGATACACAGCTGGACTTGAGCCTCAGTAGACCTTCATCTGGATGCTGTGGGTCTGAGCTTCGTTATCTGAGGCTCTTAATAACACTCCACAGAGCCGCAGGACTCACAGCAGACGCTTTGTGCTCTTTGTGCCGGTGGTGTGTGACGTCACGCTCCGGTAGTGTGTTTACAGTCTTGTGAGGTCCTGCTGTTTGTGCTGATGTTCTTATGGAAACATCCGCTCAGACCAGCGTCCTCCTGAGCTTCATCTGCTGCTGGACGCTCCATGTGTTTGTGTCCTCGTGACCTCAGAGCAACTCAAACTAAAATTAAAACCAGAAAAACAAAAAATCATGGCCTGATAAAACATTATTTATTTATGCATTAATTCATTAATAATTAATTAATTCATTCATTCATTCTTATTTTGATGAAATTATATTTATTATTTATTATATTATGACTTTATTTATTTGGACTACCAAAAGATTTTGATGAAAATGTAAAAAAGAAAAAAAGAAAAGAAAAGAAAATGTAAAAAAAATACAAATTTGAAATAAATAAATAAAAATTCGAAAAGGAAGAAAATCTAAAATAAGTAGTTTTATCTGTCCTGATAGCATATTATTTAGAGATAGAGTTTACAGTATGATGCTGTCGCTCCAGAGGCTCATCTGCGATCACTCGCTCTCGGTTTGTTTCATAAGCTGGAACCTGACTGAGATTCAGAGAAGAGCTGAGAGACGCAAACATCACGAGCATCATGAGCTCAATCTGTTCCACACTGACACACAGATGATGATGAGGAGGTTATTTTGTCCTGTGTGTGTGTGTGTGTGTGTGTGTGTGTGTGTGTGTGTGAGTGTGTGAGTGATAATTCAGAATGAGTTTTTTTTTAAATCTAAAAATGCAGAAAGTTTCCTGTAAGGGGTAGGTTTAGGGGTAGGGTTGGTGTAGGGCAATAGAAAATACGGTTTGTACAGTATAAAAACCATTACGCCTATGGAGAGTCCCCATAAACCATAAAAACAAACCTGTGTGTGTGTGTGTGTTTATGTGTTTTATGAGCGCTGGTCATGTGATTGGGTGAAAGGCACCTTGCATTCTGCTCCAAAAATACCTGCCAGATTCCAGATGGGATCACGACGCCAGAGCAGAGTGCGTGCTTGTGTATGTGTGTGTGTGTGTGTGTGTGTGTGTGTGTGTGTGTGTGTGTGTGTGAGTGAGTGAATGAAAGAGAGTGTGTGTGTTCGTGAGAGAGAGAGACTGTTTGGAATGACAACCGTTGGTCTCAGACTAATGTTGAAAAGTTTAATGTTTCGGAAAGAGTCTTCTGCTCACCAAAACTACATTTATTTGATTAAAATACAGTAAAAAATTTTTAAATATTATTCTAATTCTGTTTTCTATGTGAATATCTGTTAAACTGTAATGTATTTCTGTGATGCGCAGCTGTATTTTCAGCATCATTACTCCAGTCTTCAGTGTCACATGATCTTCAGAAATCAGTATAATATGCTGCTGCGCGAGAAACATTTCTGATTATTATCAATGTTGAAAACATTAATATTTTTGTGGAAACCGTGACATTTTATTTTTCAGGATTCACAGGTGAATAGAAAGTTCAAAAGAACTGCATTTATTTGAAATAGAAAAGTTTTGTATCATTATAAACGTCTTTACTGCCACTTTTGATCAATTTAATGCATCACAGATGAATAAAAGCACCAAAACACTTTTGAACAGTAGTGTATGTTGAATTTCTATAAAATTACTGAGCAGATATTTTTTTAATTGCCTTTCAGCCAATTAAGGGCCTTATTTAATATAAATGAATATATCATGAAGAGTAATTAGAATTTTAGATTTGCTCTAACATCTGCATGAGAAGTGATGATCAGCGCGGCGTTTGTCCTCCAGACGTGGCCTCTTGGACTTTCTCCTGTTTTCGTTCCCAGCGGCCGGAATGCGTTTCCGGAGCGTAACCATGGCAACTTGAGTCTGGCACCAATCCCGCGCTCTCGCTCCACGCCACCGGCCAATCAGAGCTCCGCCTCCGAGCCAGCGGCCAATCAGAGCGTCCGATGCGTGTGTCCTCTAGAGACTCAGTTATGGCAGCACGACTGTGTTCAACATTGATAATAATCAGAAATGTTTCTCGAGCAGCAAATCAGCATATTAGAATGATTTCTGAAGATCATGTGACACTGAAGACTGGAGTAATGATGCTGAAAATACAGCTGCGCATCACAGAAATACATTACAGTTTAACAGATATTCACATAGAAAACAGCTGTTTTAAATTTTAAATTTTCACTGTATTTTTGATTAAATAAATGTATAATCGTACCAATCCCAAAATTTCGGGTTACTGTATTTACGTATGTAACAAAGTCATAATTTTTTGGTTTAAAAAAGCTTTTGATGTTTATTATTTTGGTGTTTTATAAATATAAAAACGCCTCTGAAAGTCATTTCCAAGGGTTAATATTGTCCCTTAATGAAGTAAATGTGTGACGCTGGCATCATAATAATGCATTTGATCAGATCAGACTATATTGTTGTTGATTTTGTGGTTATGGACTGTAGAAATCTATAATTCATATCTGTGATTTAGTGCCTTCAAAATGCTGGTGTATAGTTGTACTTTTTTAAATGATCAAAGTGTTGAAGTTCAGCTGGAGGAACTGACCAATGGCGTGAGTTTGGGGGCGGGACTGTCTGTTTGACCGACCAATGGAAACCTGTTATTAACACTCATTATTTTTGCACTTTTCATTTTTCACTGTTTTTTACTCTGATCTCATCCATATCTCGGACGTTTGTTTAATAGCGTTTAAATATATTTCATAGTTTTAATTTTAACTTTGTGTAAGGTTTTAATAGTCTTGTTGTGTATTGATAATTTTTATTAGATTTTGTTGTTGTTTTTAATGTCTAAAATGCTTGTTAAACGAGTTTGAATGTATGTGATATTGTAAACTATGCTGTATCCACCCAAATAAATTCAATTTGACTTGTATTTTGTCCATGTGTTCTTGCTTAATAATAAATGTTCATGTTTTGATTATTGCTGTTGCCTCTAGTAATTCTGTGTGTGTGTGTTTTTAATTTCCAGTCCATTTATTTACCCAGTGCTGGGTTGCCAGATAACCCAAGTTGTGTTGTTTTTAACCCAGCATTGTTTATAGAGTGTGTAATGCTGTGTTGTGTGTTTCAGGCTGAGTTCTCGGAGATCAATCTGGTGTCGGATGTGAACTCCGGCTGTACGGTGGACATGCAGGTGAACCGCAGAGGAACCAAAGTGGTCAGGTGTGTTCTCTCACTGTCACCGAGACGCTTTTTATTTTTACAATTTCAGTTTGTTCGTTTTTTTAGTTAAAGTTTTACTGTTTTTCTTTCTTTCTTATTTTTTTTTAAATATGTCTATATAGTTTTATTAATATTTTGAATAATTTTTTATTTTTAGAATTGCACTTTTTTACATTTCAGTTAAAGGTTAGTTCATTTTTTAACGCCTATATGTGACCCTGGAGCACAAAACCAGTCATAAGTGTCAATTTTGTGAAATTGAGATTTATACATTCTCTGAAATCTGAATAAATAAGCTTTCCACTGATGTATGGTTTGTTAGGATAGGACAATATTTGGCTGAGATACAACTATTAGAAAATCTGGAATCTGAGGGTGCAAACAAAATCAAAATATTGAGAAAATCATCTTTAAAGTTGTTCAAATGAAGTTCTTAGCAATGCATATTACTAATCAAAAATTAAGTTTTGATATATTTACGGTAGGAAATGTACAAAATATCTTCATGGAACATGATCTTTACTTAATATCCTAATGATTTCTGGCATAAAAGAGAAATTAATAATTCTGACCCATACAATGTATTGTTGGCTATTGCTACAAATATACCCCAGCGACTTAACACTGCTTTTGTGCTCCAGGGACAGAGATAGCTTTATTATTATTTTGAATTTGTCTTTTTTTTTTTTGTGTGTTTTGTGCTTCATGTATTTATTTATTTTTTTGTAAATGTGTTTCTAGTTTTTATTAACTAATTGTTAAGTTAAATTAAATGCAAATGAGAAATGCTGACTTGGCAAATAGCTGAAATAAAATAAGAGAAGCAAGTGTTTTTTAGTAGTTTTAATTGTAGTTTTTAAGGTGTGTTTGTTCATGTCCAGCTCTAAAACACAGCATCTAAATGAGCATTTGTTCAGGTTTAAGTTGAATGTGAATCAGTATGTGACAAATGAATAACAAATCTCAAACAGACTGTAATTCCAGACTGTTTTCCCAGCGTTTCAGCCAGACACAAATGCGTTTGGTGTTTTCAGCGTTAATGTGTGCTCAGACTAGAAACACAACCCTTTCTCCATCACTCAGTGTGTAATGTGGGTTATATGTGATTCAAGTCTGAAGCAGCGGCTGGTTTTCTGTGTGCGGCTGAAGAGCAAATAAAGCGTGTGATTTGAGCCGCTGTATTAATAAAGCTCATCTTAATGAAAACAGCACGGCTGTAATGGAGCCTGCAGTGTCTGGGCCTCTCACACTCTCGGCTTCACATGTCCATCATCTGCCAAACACATGGAGATTATTTATACCTGCCTCACTTAAGCAGACATCTTATACTAGCTTAATACAAGCCACTATTAATAGTGTGTGTGCGGATGAGCTGAACCGGCCCTTTAAGAAGCACACACTCACACACACTTACAGTCTTTTCTGCTCACCAAAGCTGTGTTTATTTAATCACAAATACAGTAAAAAATTTGAAATATTATTATAATTTCAAATAGTTATTTTCTATGTGAATATGTGTTAAACTGTAATTTATTTCTGTGATGCGCAGCTGTATTTTCAGCATCATTACTCCAGTCTTCAGTGTCACATGATCTTCAGAAATCATTCTAATATGCTGATTTGCTGCTCGAGAAACATTTCTGTTGAAAACATTAATATTTCTGTGAAAACCATGATTTTTCAGGATTCACAGATGAATAGAAAGTTCAAAAGAACAGCATTTATTAGAAATTGGAACCTACGCAACATTATAAATGACTTTACTGCCACTTTTGATCAATAAAAGAGTTATTTTACAAAATCATATTAACCCCAAACTTTTATACTATAATACACAAAAAAATTATGTGCTTTTCCAGCTAAACTATCTAGAAGTCCTTGAATAAGATTGAGAAGCAGCACTACATACAATCTCAAGACTTGTTTTCATAGACTGTGTCTTTAATATCAATGTTTTGTCCTTCAGATTATTCACTTGATTATACTTAAAACAATTCAAAAACACTGATATTAAAGACACATCTGTGCAAGTCTGAATCTCTAAAGCAGTGTAAATGCCTCTTGCTTGAAAGATGATTTTTAGCAGATGTTGGGAACTGAATGCATGCTAAACAAAGACAGAAGAGTGTGATGTTCTTCGATGCACACGTGCGAGTGTTTTATGAGGGAACGTAAAGATGCCAGAGTATTCTGATGACTGGAGAGAATGTGAATGTGTGTCTGTGTGTGAGTGTGTGTGTGTGTGTGTGTGTGTGAGAGGGAGAGTGTGTGTG